TCGCAATGAATGAGTGAGCTACACATACGATCAGATGACTTGAATGGTTTGTCCATTTAGCCTGCAGATGGAGAAGCGTTCACTGTGCGTGTAAATTAGTTTTCGAGAGTTGTGTGATATTCCATATCTCTCACTCTCTCTCTCTATCTCCCTCACTTAGCCACCGTCTCTTGTTCGCTCATCTGAATTCAATGTATACACAGTAGCGCGTGCACATACATAGAAACAACTTGCGCACGATCTCGCGCATATTTTTCTCGTTGTGTATTGACAATGTTTTCTTGTAATCAAGTTACTGTTTTTTCGACACGGGCCTAGTTGTTCGTTCCTTTCCATTTCTCCAAAAAAAAAGAAGATTTTTTTAAAAGTTCGCGAATTGATCGTTCGTGAATACGAAGGGTTCTTTGAATCCGGAGGGCAATTTCTCGATCGATCAACTGTAGTGTAAATCAAGTGATATTTATATTTCTGCAAAAAAAACTAGGGTGAAAAAATAAAAACCTTGTATCACATTATCTCGCCGAAACGAGACAGATTGAGAAAAAAATATATATATAGATATATTGGTATAATTGAGATTGGTGTGTTTCGATTGTGTGCGCGACTTGCACTCGGGTAATAAACAAGAAAAAAATTCCTTTATTTTATGTGACTGTGTGTGAATTTTGTGTAAAAATTGTGTCAACAAAAGAAAAATTAATTAAATCGGTCAATTTGAATGGAAAAGTTCCAAGTGGAAATTTGCAATTTGTGAATGTGAAACAAAAAAATAATAATAGTCAAAATCCCAAATGAAAACAAATGCATCTGTCTCAATGGAATAAGAGATTGATCGAAAGAGATAGAGAAGAAGACAGTGAAGATGTGTGTTGCATTGGCTTTTTGTCAGTCGTTGTGGATGGAATGAGTAGAGTGCGAACGTATAATCGTTGTTGTTGTGCCGTTTCACCGTTTATTCATACGCGTACTATGATCACTTTCCTTATATTTTATGTCTCAGTGTCTTATGATTCAAGCGTTGTTGGTGTATATTGTAAGTTGTTTGCAGTAGGGCTCATCTTTCGACCAAGCCGCGTCGTTCGGTGTGTGGTGGCTTTATTATAAATATAGATGCCATTGATGTTGTTGTTGGATTCCAGTGTGATCTTTTGTCGTGTTATCACCACGACAATACCCAGATTGTATACTTTAATTTAATTTTCATCTTTTACTATGCGAAATTTGTATAAACGCAATCATTTATTTGACCAACACAAAAGCTAAACAAAATACGATTTCTCGTACAATTTGCGAGCGAGAACGTTTATTTCTCTGTGTAGGTTCGTTCGTTTGTTTTTCTGTTCACTTCTGTTGTTGGCGAATGGAAACGATCCAAAGCAAAAATCCAAGCAAATTAAGTACGATTTGATTCTGTTCTGCAATTCATTTGTGTATTCAATGTTTACTACTGTTGTTTGCTCACGATTATTTCTAATCATAATTTAAATGTTCCATCATTTTCTACTTGAGAATTTGTATTTGAACAGCCAAATTGGTTTTTATTCAAATATATGTCCAATCAACAATGATTTGAAAGTAGCCACATTGAAGCAGCTTAATAGTCCCAAAGATAGTGAAAGATTTTGACGCATCGCATAGTATCCAGTTCATGTTGACTCAAATTATGGGTTTTTTTTATTTCATTTTGTTGATTATATTAATTCGGAGAAATACAGCATCAAATACAGTGAAGTGCTATACAGCATGTGGTATAATATGTTCAATGGCGCGTGTTTACGTTCGTACAAGTTTGCGTATTTGTGTTACGTCACTTGCATTCAAATGGCTCGTGTCTGGAGCACACAACACAGTCTGAATTTCGCACTAGTTGATGTAGATCTCCCCTTAGTACGATGAGAGAAAACACCAGTATTAGAGACACCAGTGTATTGGAACAGTTTATGGCCACGCTGATATTACCAATTTATACACATTAAATGAATTTATCGAATTACAAGAAAACAACGTTTCAAAATTTCAATTATTTGGCAATCATCGAGAGAGAGAGAAAGAGAACAAACAATTGAGGGAGCACGTATGCCGCCTTGATCGTTCCGTGAGTTTGTCATCTGTTCATTTATTTGTTGATTTTTGAATTGAAAGTCGTGATATTCCAATACTTGGATGATACACAACGTCACCATCGATAATCAATCCTGTTTTGAGCATTCTATAAGTTCCACGAACATTTACATCTGACCTTCCCTTAAAATGAAAACATTTCATTATGACGGCGCGTCATCCTGAATTTAATTTAAACCGAGCTTTTAAGATCCGCTTTTCTTTTGACACACGATTTTCAAAATTGAAACCGTTTAATGATTTTGAGACAGAGGATCGGTAATAATGGGATCGCCGATCGAACATTTCATCCGAATATCGAACATCTGGGTATTTTGTGAACATATTTGCTCATTTCGGCACTACCTTTTGTATGTGCTGCGTATTGATCAATTGTATTGTTTACCCCTCGGTTGGTTTGCGGCAAATATCAATATCCATTCCGTTTTCGAATTTTTTTTATTTATTTTTTGATTTGTGTGTATCTTGTTTCATTTGTGTGCTCTTCTTCTTCATCTTCTTCTTCTACTTGATAGTAGTATCAAGCAATTAAGCTGCTACAATATTACCCATCTTCGAGAACTTGGCTATTGTGAGTCGAAAATGAATAAGAAAACCGTATTTGAATGGCAAATAATTGCCAAAAATCAATATGTGCGTATGATATTTCATACGATTGGTATAGTATGCGCTCTCCAAATTGTCGCCGATACAGTTACAAATGACAATAATTGACAATTAAATTGGGTTGCAGAAGCACAGCGCTGTGCTTCACGCATAAGAAAAAAAAACAATATTTCAAAATAATATCGCAAGTTGTCGATGATTGGTATATATTTAAGTTGGTCACGTGACATTTTTCTCGTCCAATCAATTTGTGTTTAAAATACAATTGGCTTCTCTTTTCGACTGATAAAATTGAAATAAATTAACTTCGTTAAACTGCGAACACTGCAAAAACCAGACCGATTTTAATGTGAAAAATGTATGATATTTCATCTCATGATCATCATCATCATGTTTGGCCATGTTTTATGTTGTTTTTCACGTGCTTAGACGATGATCACGCTAAGCAATAATCATGCTATAACATTTGAAAACGTCTACGTCTAGTCGACACCCCCAAACTACTTTGGCCTCATTTTACAGAAAACTTGTTTATTCGATTCTTCTCCTCCAAAATAAATCAGTTCCTTCAGCGGCTTTCCAGTCTTTCATATTCAAAATGGGTAATGGCTCTATCGATTTTCTCACAATGGACCTTTCAAATGCCAAATACAAATATCAACTCTACAAAATAAGATAAAATCGTTCAATCAGTGCCACTACACAGAATTTAGTGACCCTCGCAAAATACTTTTTCGCATATGTAATTATAAAGAGTAAAAACGCGTCTCAGTATGGTTTTTTGTATCCATTTTTAAATTAACGCGAATGTTTTTTTTCTGCTTTGGTTAAAATGATTGATCATATGCGTGCATTTTGAATAATGGCGTTTAATTTTCATTACATGATTTCGCGATAACTAATGAATATTCTTTGGTGTATGTGTGCACATTTTGATATATACGCAGCAATACGATCACCAAATCAAAAATCTCATGCTCTCTTTTTCTATCTATCTCTCATGTACGCCCGTTTTATTTGGCATTTTTCATTTTTCGATTGCTGGCTATACAGCAAAGCATTCTTGAAATGGAATATTAATAATAATAATACCACCAATAATAACAAAATAAAACAGACAAACCGGTGTGCGTTGTATTTTGCATTTCGCTTTGTCGCGCTCGGACATGAATACACATACACATGCAAATGACGTTGTGTGGTGATGTTCAAAATCACTTGGAGAAGAAATAAATGCGAACGAGAAACCGAATTAATAAAATGTCAAGAATGATATGGGGATCGTGTGTTCCATAAGACTTAGTAGCTGTACCAATGTCACAGTGGGAATCTGTGACGCACCATTACGACAACGACGGCGACAAAAAAGAAACACATACCAAAATATTTTACTGGAAAAACGTTATAGTTTCATTATTTTTCCACATACACACAAACTTAGCATACACATTTTCGTCAACGAACGACACAAAAAAAAACTGTTTTTTTCTCTCTCTCTCTCCACATTTCTATACTGTGATGCACTACGCTGTTTTGATTTATTCATTTTGATATAAATAAATAGTAAATACCACAACTATTTCTAGCGCAATTTCAATCAAACAGAAGTTATGTGAATTTTTTTGTGTGGGTTCTTCGAAAAGGAACAAGAAAAAGTCGAGAAAAAAACGAATAAGTGATGAATGGCTGTAAGGTGATGAGTCTCATTAATTATTGTCAAGAGTTTTTTCATGGATTTTATCAAAAGATGGAGAATTTTAAACACATTTGAGATATATTGAACAAAAGAAGAACTTAGTTTGTACCAAAGGGAATTTCAATGTGTATTTCTTAGGAAAAAAAATCAAGTTTTTTTTTGCAAATATACAAAAAAATGTCTGCTAAAAAATTCCAGCATAATCAATTATTTTTAAATTATGATTTGGAGTTTTTATCCGAAAAGAAGTCAATGTGTGAATTTATTTGCCAATTCTTGTTGTGAGATGGATCTAAAGAGATAAATCATCGATTCATTTAAGTTTGAAACATGTCCAAGTCCAGAAATACGTGTACGGTGTAGTACGGCTCCTACGTTTTTTGATAACAACTAATAAGATGAAAAATGTCGGGTAAAAAACTTCTTTTTTGTTTTCTCGACCTAAGACAAATTGTGGGGTTTCCCCAATTAGTACATATGAAATAGTCAAATTTCACAAAAACAACTCTGCTCTATAATGCTGCAAACAACTCGCCATTCGCAATCGTAAAATTAAAGTGGTTCAAAATATTCTATACAAATACGGATCGGATTTTTTATTTTAAATTATCAATCTCTTCTTTTGAGACAAATTATTCAAAACTACGTCATTCGAAGACAAATGATCTAATAAAAATAGATAGCAAAAAAACGAGGGTTCAATGTAAATACGACTGCACGAAACATAACCAATTCAATTGCATTAAATTGCACACACACACATATCACAAGTATGCGGGCTGTAAATTGGTGCATGATTGATGTGTGGATGTGTGTTTACTGGGCGTGTATGCATGCAATTTAATGCGATTTGTTTTGAAATATTTCTACAACTTTCTTCCATTTAATGGGAAATATGTGTTGATTTAAAGTAATCAGTTGATGGAATTCATCCAAATTGACCGCACACATTGATAAATATATGCTTTTTCATTTCGTTTTCTTAAAAAAAAAACAAATTTTCTTCGTTTTTAGTTTTAAATCCGAACTACTGAAAATTTTCAAGGATTGACGCATCTTCAGCGGTAGCTGAAACACACGCACACTCAAAAAGGGAGAGAGGCGCCAAGGTGCATTCTCCAAATGTGATGGACAACGAATCAGGAATTGATATGAACTTCGATTTCATTGATTTCGACTATAGTGTATTCGAAAATGATTCCAACATTGACACATTGCTCGATAAAGCATGCAACGATGTTATGTTCTACGAACTCAAATCGAAGACGGTGCCCGAAGAAACTGAAACGTAAGTTAAATAGCTTGTCATTTATCTTCATAATTATCCAATAAGTTAGACGGCATCCAAACATATATAGAACACACAAAAAAAGTAATAATTTGCACTAATATCGACTGAATCACCGCAGACATTATATTGAGATATTTTCAGGCGCTGAAACAGAGTGAAAACTATAGAAATGTTTGTTATGGTTATAAACTCTTTTACAATGCTGCGATCGCTTTAACAATCACTTCTATTGTTTTCACTCTGTTTCAGCGCCTGTCGTTAGCTGATTCAGCTTGCTGAAAACATACCTCAATATAATGTCCGCTTGAATTACGTGCGAAATGACAAAAAAATCGGTTGACGAATAATTTTCGAACAACAAAACAGTTACCATGAACTTTTCTTGAATGAAGATACGTGCGACTGAAGACCGAAAGAAGAAACGAAAATTGTCTAATTGTAGACAAATGTGATAATTAAACTGAAAGGATGAGTTTTGGAGGTCTTGTTTCACACGCCAAAATATCATATTTGCACTTTGGGTACGCGCACACGATAACAACAATGACGACGACCGCGCGTCGTCTACTTCTTCATACTCTCAGCGTCAGTTCAGCGTTCGATTCTAAAAATATTCAACCGTTTTCGTATCGGCACACGAAACCGAACATTGAATTTGTTATGGCGCATGCTCCAAATGATCACGGAGCTTATGATGTTGACACTTTTTCATCGGCGGTTCATTGTTTTATTTTGAATAAATTGAAAAAAAGGGAGTATATTTATACGTGCAATAATTATAATAATTTGTGCTACAAAAACAGATCGAACAAATGCATCGGATTATTAAACGAAAAATTCGTATTCAACATTTCATCATAAAAAATGAATACGAGATAATATTCATAAGCGTTGCTATTATGGATATTCTTCATTTAGATGGAATTTTTTAGTCATTGATCCCTGATTGACTGTAAAAAAAAGCCGTTGGTTCCAAGCAAAAACCGCCAAATGGAATCAATATATAATCCCTTTCATCTGGACGCATCCGTACATTTTGGCATTACTGTAGATCTATTTTAAGCAAATTATTTTTTGTTGTTGTTGATGTTGCTTGTCTTGTGTTTGAAAGCGTGCGAGTCATTTTCGCGTACCAAAATAAAAAAAAACGTAATTTGGCTTTGGCTATTCGCAAAGACATTTTCAGTGTTTTCTCACATATCTTTCACTCAGTCAGTTTCGAAGTGTTTTTTTATTTATTAGTTTGGTTACGGTTTGACTATTTATGTGATCTATTCGTATATATCGAATTCAAAATATCCGAATTGTATGTGCATATGGTTGCTTTTTTTTGAGGTGTATTTGTGTAATTGCCGATCGTTAGAATTGCACCACAAATAATGAGCAATCAACAATAAGTTAAAATAAGACCGAAACAAAACAATTTTGTTCGAAAATTCAGTAGTGTTATTGCACTCTCGCAACGACGCAACCACAGATAAAAGAAGACAGAAAAAGCGGCAACGACGGCGGGCATGAAAAAGAAAAAAGAGTCGTTTAGTCAAAATCCCGAAGAGAGCATGTGTTCTCAGTCAGAAGATTCACTCTTTTGCGCGCTAGTTTTTCCCCGATCGTGTATCAAACGATTCAAGCAAGCAATTTTCTCTCAGCCCCAAGTGAGATAAAAAAAAAGAATTTTTACGAAAGAAACGACGACATTTCGCGCGATATATACACATATTTACGCTTTGCAAGATTTATTTTACGCATGAATTTACGATTCCAGATCGGATATTTTATATTATTCGATGGTTCGTCAGTTTTTAGGCATTGAATTGGTGAAAATTCACACCGCCATTTTTAGTTTTGTGTCAATAAATATATTGAAGCTTTCAATCAAACACACATTTGGTGTGCCAAATGTATTTTGTCGGATGCTCTTGTTGTTGACACAATCAAAACAAGAATTTCGCGAAGCGTAAGAAAAAAGAGAATGAACAATGTAAACGAATAATTGCTAGTGTGAATGCAAAATAACAAACAAAAAAAAAGAAGATATTTATTACTCACTGTGTTCAACAAATTGAACGGATAATTCAAGTGTAATCAGTGTATTGTGATAAGATTGTTCTTTGAAATTTAAAAAAAAGAAGAAGAAAAAATAATTAAGATGTTTTCGTTAAGCGAAAATCTAGTGAATAATTGCTTGAATCCTGAAAATAATTTTCAAGATGCACAAATTCCTGTATGCAATGACACAACCAATATCAAAATGGAAATCAGCGATAGTGATGCAATGCGCAGTAAAACTGATTTATCCAATCTCAAAGTCACGGTTGGCATCGACGAAGATTTACAAATGATCCTCGAAATGGATCCAAGCATTGTAGATTTGGTGCGAAACTTCAACTAATAATGTTATTTGCCGTTGTAATACCACCAAAATCGAATGCATCTTCGAACGAAACTCTTTGTTGACATTTTCCCAATTGAAGAACTGTCTCGAACGTCACCATTTCAAATTGCATTTCGAAGAGTATTTGTTTCGATGGGGAAATGTGGAAATGCATCGAATTTTGTTGCGAAAATGCATTCAAGCAGCGTAGATTGTGTCAATATCTAATGAACATTTTTTTTATTCACATCAAAAGGGCGTCGATATAATCGGTTGTACACCGGCAACAATAAGTAATTCTCCATGTCACACGCCAAAAGCATATGGATTACCACCTATACTGGGCGGGTAAGAAACCGACCGACAACGAAGAAGAAAAACTCTTTTGATTGTTTTCCGTGTGTTATGCTAATGCTTACGCCAAACTGAAACTAATCGCTTTTTCCACATATCATTTGAAATTCGATAGGCATTACTGCGATCAGTCAATTGTATAAGCTTTTGTTTACATAAATTCAATTAAATTCATATAATAATATAAGAAAAATCTCTAAGAAATGAGAAATATTTCCACATATTAAGCAATAGGGGTATAACATGTATTGTAAACGCTAATACCACAAAACACAGCTGTTAATGCGATACTAGCATGTTAATGTACTAAAAATATGATGAATTTTCAATGTACAAGGCCATGGGTGTTGTTGCCAAGAATGAGGAAAACGGCAATTCTTTAGCCTGTACTCGCAGCGTGTCTCGCTCGCTCTTGCGTCTCGTTATACACCCACAGTACGAAATTACAATAAATGTGACATTTCAACATGATGCTTTGTCCCGCTCTCAATCATTCTATGGTGTATGTACAGTCGAGTGCTCGTTTTCGCACACAAATCGCCAACTATCGAAGTAAAATGTGTGAACACATATTGAAGAGTAATTGATCGTTGATTAGGGATTTGGCTTCGATTTACAAAATAATTTCCTTCTCATTTTATGTCTCGCTTACTCGTCTGATTCATGCAAATGGTTCACAAATCATTTTGACTGTTGCTGAACAAAAACCCGATGAATTGAGTGATGAACGGAAAACAACAATAAATTAGCTCTGACTCAATACAAAACGCCAACAAGTGCGAGTCATTTCAAAATTAAATGATAATTACTTGAAAGAAAATTTTCAAAAAAATATACTCAAAAAAAACCACACACGATTCAAATGAACAAATACGATTTTCATGACTAAATAAGGACCGATTCACCAAATCTTATAATTATTATGCGCAAAACTAACATTCTTTCCCCATTTTAGCACATATTATTGATTATAATGAAATTATAAAAGAAAACGTTTTTTTTTTAATTTTTGATTTTTAGGCCAACATTTAAAACGGCAACACCAACATCCCGTACACAATTAAAACAACAATTGCAACGAGAACAATTACAAGAGCTTGAACGACAAGAATTGGAACGACGAGAAAATGATCGAAAATTATCCATGCAGGGCCATGGATGCCATACCAATGTTGATCATTCCCAATTGGCTCATTCGGCACAATCCAGTCCACAATTACAGGTGCCAAGAAATTGCTTGAACGTTCCGCAATTGTATACATCATCACCGACACCATCCTCTTCAACGGAAGGCAGTGATTTTAACAGTGGAAACTTTTCAAATCAATCACAACAAGTTCCACCACAAACGGATGTACAATGTGCACCGGTAAAAGTTCCACTTCACATTGGCGTCGATTTACCACCACAAGTCTTAAAGGTTAACCATATTATTATCTTTCTTTTAATTGTTCATCAACTTTATCATTTGAAATCATTAAAATTCTATTAATAGGTTCGAACTGTTTTGGAAAATCCAACACGTTATCACGTTATTCAAAAGCAAAAGAATCAGGTGCGCCAATATTTAAACGAATCATTGCAACAGAATGAGTGGAACGAGCATGAACCAATTCAACAATTGCAACAGCAACAACAACAACAACAACAGCAGCAGCAGCAACAACAACAACAGCAGCAGCAGCTTCCACAACATCAACAGTACCAACAACAACATCATCAATCAATGCAAGAGGTACTCATTCAAAAATAAATTTGGTTTTTCATAAAACTGTTTCTCTGATATTACTTTTTTTTAGGAATTTGAACAAACTTCATTAACCTCTTTACCCCATGAACAACATACCAATCAAATGTCACAGCCATCAAATCGATTGTCATCTAGCGAGACAAAGGTGCATTCATTAGATTTGGCACAGCTAACTGGTTATGTGAGTATTTATCAAAATTATTTCAAATGAAAACAAGTATTTAAAATGGAACTTCACAAAAAAAAATGCTATTCTATTGCAGCGAAAGGCCGTATCCACATCATCGAATATCAACGATTCGCCATCATCGCTGAGCGAGATAAGTGGCAATAATCGTGCATCATCTTCGGTGAAAATTCTCTCAAATATCAGTTTGCCGCCATATCGACCGGCTTTATCGTCACAAAATTTGCCGCACAATCAATTACCCTCACAAGGTAAAATATATGAAAATTTATCAATCACAACGTACACAACAATTGACCGAATGTTTTGGTTTTAGGTCCATTTGAAAATAGTTATGTTACAAATTTTTACTCATCGAATAAAGGCAAAGGTCTCGGATTGAATGCCAGCCCAGAATCGGCGATGTCGCCGAGCATTAGTTCGGTTGCCACAAGTGCATCTGAGGTGAGTAAACTCAATATATGTTGTCTCTTGCTGTACACGAACGATACGAGTATTTACATTAATCATAAAATCGTACGTTCAACCATTTCATAGTAGAAAAAATATACAGCAACCAAAAAGTTGAACAAAAAAATCCAAATTTAAAATCCAGTTCTGGTTTCGCTCACTTTTTTTAATGAGATTATCGCATGATGTCATTTGCATGAACTCATGGGTCCGATATAAATTATTGTAATATGCACATATCTGTATTTGGGTCACTTAATCAGTCGAACCATTCACACATTCGGGCATATCAATATTGCGTCAAAAGGAAGAATTCCATTTGATTTATTGATCATATGAGATAATTTTTGATTTCAATGACTTTATTTATTGTTGGATTTTTTTTTCAATTCAGAAATTACGTTAAATTTAAAAAAATACAAGCGTCAATATGACGAACGAACTTTTTTTTCCGATTTAAGACTGATAATAATAATATCCAGCGTGGAATCAACGCAAATGATAACGACTTATTATCAATTTTGAAATGCACAACTAATTGCAGTTGTGTTTTTGAAGATACCGAATTCATGACTCAATTGTTGTGAGACAATTTTTTCAATTGCTATTGAGTTGATCTGTTGTTGTAGCTAAGGATCTGTAGGTACAAAGTCATCTTATATCAAGCAAAACTGGTTGATTTTTTTTTAATTGAAAACCGAGAAATTCAATTGAGAAATGGACAGGAGATGTCTAGAAAACGGAAACATTTCAAAGTTCATTCTCGAGATGTTGCTTGTTTCGTCAATCAATAATTTCGTCTTGAACTTATCATTTGCAATTCTGAGTCGAAAGTTCATAATAGGATGTTTTGCAAAAAAAATAAAATTGTCAAGTATGTTCTTGATAAATGAATTGTGAAGTGTGAAAAATGTGTGTAATGTTGATTTGTAGTGGTTTTTTTTTTCATCTGTGGAAGAATGTTTATTTCGAAACACCTGTTGAAAAATGTGAATATAATAACAAGAGTTTGAGTGTAGAAAGTATACTCGAGAAAAGTGAAAGATTAACGCAGTGATTGATATTTTAAATTATATGTAAAAAAATACACGCACCAACATCAGAATGGATTATAGGTCTAGATATATCAAAAGAAAATGTTAATGATTAATCTTATCTTTCTCTCACATTTGCGAGTCGAATCGTGTTGTTCTTCCGTAAATGATGTAAATTTTGCATGTATCCTGGCTTTGTTTTCGTACGCTTGGAGTTTATAAACAAGTTTACTGTTTACAATCTTTTGAAATGCTGATTCATCGCCAAAAATTCTCGTCGTTTTTAAGAGGAAATGAGGCCGTTAAATTTGCTTAATGTGAAACGTATTTGATTTCATTAAGTACGGTAATAGTAGGATATATATCATACATGGGCACAGGGTATAGGTTCTCACACTTCAAAATTTAGGAGTGAGTACGAGTTTCTCAAAAACTCCTAGCAAAATTGGCAACAACGGCCTTAAAACCTTAGCAAAATGAGAAAAAATGGTATACAAATTAATTTATTTTGTAAAGGAATTTGATATCTCAGAGGAGGTTTAAAAACGCATCGTTTCCATGTATGATAAGTTCTCACTGAGAACCTAGAGAGAGAGAGAGAGAGAGAGAGAGAGTAGCAAACCTGGACAAGTAAAAACTCTCGTGGCGCTTTTTTGGTTTTTCTATATGAAAACTGCCAAATGCGTTAATATTTTTATCGATATACTCAATTTTTGGAGGTTGCATTCAATAATTCTAAAAAAAAAAAAATCTATTTCATTTGAACAACTTTAAAAAATCTGATTTCATTAGTATAATAGTTTATTTCTCCTAGTAGTACTGTCAAATGTTTCACATTAAGCCCTACGGCCAAAGACTGACAGTGTATTATGATATTGATTTAATTGTGTGGATGTAAAAATCAACAAAAGCCCGAAAAATCAAATTCTGTATTTGATCCAAAAAATCAACAACACACAAAGTGGGAATGAATGTCGCGACATCGTGGTGCACGCGTACAATACCAACAATAATTCATTGTTTTAAATGCGGCCACCGAAATCTATCACGATTTTAAAGCGATGACAAAATCTGGCATAATCCCTGTGCGCCGTATCATAAATCCGTTGCGGTTAAATCCACAATATTCATATATTCATGGAACGAGATGACGTTGATGTTATCTTAATCTTTTTGTGAGTAATTTTGTTTCGTAATGTGTGAGTCTTCAGTTTGTGGCGCCTAGTTTCAAGGTTTTTCAAATAAGAAATATTCAAGTCAACCCTATATAGTTTTATGACCCTCCAAATCACACAAACACTACACTACATTCACTATTTTAGACCTCAATTAAATAAAATGGCATTGGTCAGTTCATAGTTTCGTTTTTTATTACCGCCGTTGATAAACTATCTATGCAATAAAAAAAAACAATATTCAATTTGAATCATAATATAAATTCGCAGTTCACAAGTGATATCAGAACTTATCAAATCGCATATATATATATAAAAAAAATTACAACGAAAAAGTAAGAAAACGTAATTAAACAATGTAGCAATCAGGTCTCGATTGGTTGCGTTGCTGTGATATCAACGTGCTCGTTGTTCGGTCGTTCTGTGTAGTGTCATAATAATCCGTATATGGGCAACCGAATGGGCGAAAGTAACAAATCTACCGCACAATTATGGCTCAAAATATTTTTATGACTATTTGCGTGTCACTTTTTAAGCCTTTTGTGTTATAATTTTGCTTTTTTCGTTCTCTTCATTCGCCCGAGGTATATGATCGCGAGCAAAAAAAAAAACGAGAGTGAATGCTTGTATGTGTGGTGCGATACAATATTGTCGTCAAGCAATTGTTCACTTGCAAATGTGTCACTGTTTTTCTCGAATTCTCAACACAATCCATTGTGTTCATGTGGTTAGTGGTTCTTCGCAAACAACAGCGGCTTGTTTTATTTAGCGTCCCTTGAGATAAGACAGTGAGAGAATAAAAAACTCTTATCATATCATTTAAAATCAAAGTTTAAAAAATTCATGCCTACTATGGATGAAATCGAACACAATATGATATCGTGAACAGTTTCACACAGAACAAACAGAAGTATATGAGATGCCGTTCCTAGATAGCTTGTTCTTGTCACGAAACTACTGAGACGGGGGGGAGGTTCAAAGGAATTGAATGAAAAGGAAATTGCTTATTACATTGAAACAAATGTTGATTGATTGTCAGCTTCTTGAAGAAATTAAACTGAATCATGAGATCAACACAATTTTTAATAGATAATGAATGTTAATTGGGGGAGCGGTCTCAATCTTTATTCGTCTTTTTTCCCTTATCACATTTGACTTTTCTGTCTCTCTCACGCTGTATGTGTTCTACTGTGACGTTGAATCTTTATTTACATCTATTGCATTTTTGCTATTTTCGTTCGCATTTTTTTCTTATATTTTCATTCAAATGTTATTTTCGTTGTCGAGACTTTCGATCACCGACAATACATTGTTGTTATTATACACGGTTATTACTGTCTCTTTTTTTTGTTGAATTTTTTGTATTACTATTACAAGTCATATTAAAGTGCCACTTCAAATGACTCGATTTGATTAACTTTTCAATCGCATATACGAATGTATTTCAATGGCATCGCCAGAACTGTCCTAAATGCAACTAATCTCAATCATTCTCTCCGTCTCTTTCATTTCTTTTTCACATTCACCTCCTTTTTAATATACGTGATAAGGCTGATTTTTTTCAATTGCAACATCATAAAAACATGATTGTATACCTTTTTGTTCAACACACTCTGATTCTTTCCTTATTATTTGATGCGAACAAACAATTGTAATAAGAAGAAAGAAATACGCTTGTAAAAAAGCAACAACAAACTAAGATCGCGATGGGATAAGATTGAACCGTTTCGTTCTTTCTTGCACAATCTCTCACTGTGTGTGTATCTGTTCGTTTTTATTTACTATCTCTGTCTACGACATCGCTGTCCTTTCGAAGTCATTTCACTTGAGCGAAACAATTTCGGCTTATGCGATTACAGTGTGAAAGCAACTCGATCAAAATTGCATAATGAAATAATTTACACACAAATTCAATCTCCGAAATCAAATAATGTGTGTATTTACTTAAATTATTATGTTTGCGTGTATCTCTCTCTCCATAATTCGGTTTGCTCTGCTACCGTTTCAGTTTCTATTTTTGTTTATGAGTGCAACGACCCGATTTATCATCATGCAAAATCTTGAACATTTAGTTTGTAACACTTGACGTTGAATGACTAATTTTTTTTTGATAAAGAATGTTTTAAGAACATTTTTTTTGTTGTGTTTTGCACTCGAATTTACAAAAACGCATTCCTTTTTTTATTTTATTTTTCTTTTCGATTAAATTTGATATAGTAAATTTTTTCAAAATTAATGGTTTTAATTAACTGTAGAGAAAGTAAGTGTACAACATTGTGTTTAGAAGTGTACCTGCAAATATTTTTCTGGAAATTTACCCCTTTTTTAGCCATACTCATAATTTTGCCCGGGTAGCGAATTTCTAAATCCAACATTTTATGTATCTTGATCTTAAAAAGTGTACATTAAGTGTAGGTTCCAATTCCGTCTTCATATTTGATATTACTATGAAATCGAGTGACTCGGCCAAAGTAGCCTTGACCAAAAACCTTTAAAAGCAAAAAATCCTTTGAATCATCTCAATTTCAAAACAAAATCACAACAACGAATTTCGAATAATTTTCGAATGGCCTGAAGTAAAACGATTTTTCAAATTAATCGCAAAATTTGATCTAGTATAAATTTCATCAATAATTCACGCATTGATATTTCTGTAAACAATTACACATTGTTGTATTTTCGAATTGTGCGACATTGTTGTTTTTTTTTTTAATATTCAAGGCTTGAAAATTGTTAATAGCATTGCTTTTATTGCTTTGATTCATCAAAAACATAGTGCATGACT